CCCACCGACTAAAAAGGTATCAGTGCTTGCTGTACATACCTGTGGGTGCAGCAGCAGGAGCTCAGGGACTGGGGAGCCAGGAGAAGCAACTGCGGATGCTCTGCTTCAGAATCAGTTGGTTCTATCAATACAGTATTAAATGTTAACAGGTTGAATATATTAATCATAGAGTAGACAGTGGTCCCTCATTTATTGCAGCAGGGGTTCTCAGAATAACTAGCCCACTTTATACACTGGTCACGCACTTTATACACTTTTTTCCACACACACACGAACATTGGTCACAGTTCTCACAATTGATTCTCAAAGTGCAAACCTTTGTAGATTGCAAAACGTGGAAGCCAGACGAACAGACCACACCATTCACAGTACTAGAGTCAGCCATCTTCACACTATGTGTCTCTTTTAACTTTGACCCTTGAATCTGTAATTCTGAATCTAGTTCATCTTCTAATGTTTCAATGGAGGTTGGTGATGAAAGACTGCATTCACTCACCTCCGGTCGTCGTGCAGCGCGACTGGGACGCGAACGCCGTTTCTTCTTGATTGTAGTTTCCGATGAACCAGACAGCGGCGCCTCATGCGCGCCGGGCAGCATCGCAGAGGCTGGGGAACTGGGTGCTGATGGAGTGGTAGGTGAGAGTTCCTGGAAGCTCAGGGGACCCCCGAGACCCAGGCGAGTTCCCCGGAAGATCTCTTCATAGTTAGGAGTGAGCCACGGCTTCCACCGGAGCTCTTCCTCCAGTTGAGCGCATGCAGCGCGCTGCCGCTCCTCGAGGTCGAAATCCATGACCTCCACAGCATCCTCGCGTTGCTCAGTGGAGGGCGAGACATGCCGTAGCAATGAGCGACGGCAACGTGAACGCCGGTTCCTTTTTGAAGCGGTCGTGGACGAAACTTGAATTTCTGACCGGCTCCTCGTCTTCCGACCACATCCGTGCCAGATAAGAAGTGGGAGACGGGTAGTCCGGTCGAGGCGGCGAGGGTGAACGACTGAGCTGTGATAGCGAAGTGGAAACTGGCGAGCTGAGGGGTGGCGCCGGCGCAGAAGAGTGTGGCGCCATGGCGAACTTCAGCGTGCCGACTCGCATGCTTACAGCAGGCGGAGGGGAGGCTGCGCGGCCACGGGGCTGTGGTGATGCAGCCCGCACACCGGACCGCTGATGCTGCCATGGACGGGGTTGGAGGATGGTGCGGAGGTAGTCTGAGATCAGAGGGGGTAGCGCTTCCCATAACCAAGGAAAAACCTTGACGCTTACCCGCAACAAGTGAAGTAACTCCTCCCTCTCCTCCTCTCTAGAGCTTTGCCTCCACTGGCAGCATAACGACTCCACTGCTCGGATTACGTCTCTACTATGTGTCGCTGGGTCCGACATGGTCAGGTCGTTCTGTCACGGCGGGGTGCGCCGATAAGTTTAGTTTACAGGATCCAGAAGCAGACACTGAAAGGCGGAGTTGCTGGCTGAACAGAAGACGATCCTTTATTTGGATGTTGGCACACGAAAAAGCATGAAGCTATGAAAACTAAGAAAACTGTGAACACTCAGAAAACTAAAGGACTAAGAAACTCAGTGAAAATGCGATGACAAACTATGAACACTGAGTAAACTATGACGAAACACTATGGGGATGCAAACAGACGACCTGACAACGAAAAATAGAAAACAGAGGACTTAAATACACACATGAGGTGATCAGGGGAAGTTGAGACACATGAGGAAACAGCTGACAAGGATGAACATAACGATGCACAGGAAATGTAAATTCAAACACAATAACATGAAAACTGGACTTTCAAAATAAAATAGGAAACATAAGACGCAGACATGACAACCTGAACTTGACAACGTAAGACACAGACATGAAACACATGAAGGGCAAGGGAGACTTAACAGGGGTGGAAGACACAAGGGGAATCTAATAACAAAGAACTAGAACAACCTAGGCATGATAAAAAATGAACTTAGAAAACCTGAAGGGCTTAAACATAAACTAAAACTCAAAACGCTGGGTCAAAAGACCCAGGATCGTGACAGAAAAGTATTTCTTTGTACCCCCTTTCCCTGTTATTGCCCTACCCTGCCCCCTGGCAAAACTTTGCTAGACCCACCCCTGCACAGTTACTAGCTGTCAGCTACTTAGAAAAGGATCCTGGTGTTATTTGTCTCTCAGAAACAGTTCATAACTTCCCTTCAACTCATTCATGTCACCTAAAAGGTAAACCTGTTTCTCCATCACCTGTTCAGCTCTGATGATTCAGTAAGGACATCTCCTGGTTTCATCTTCATGTTTCCCTCTCACCACATATCCAAACCGATATCATGACCAGCAGCTTTACAGCTGTGGCTCCAGCAAACATCAGCTGATACTAGAAATTAATATTAAATAAATTCTAACAACAGCTGATCAAGCTTAAACGTGCTGCTGTTGTTTAGCGCGACATCCGCTGGTTTCCTCTTTCTGGCGCAAAGTGGGCGATAAACAAACAAGAGAGAAAAGCCGATCAGCTGATCATTGATCAGTTTCATGATTGAAGTAGAAACAGGAGAGGGAGGGGGGAGAATGAGAGAAGAAGAGGCAGCTGTGCAGCGTAAACACAGAATAACTCCAGCTTTGTGTCTTTTTCATTGTAGCTGAAGTCCGGGACAAACTGTTCCTTTTCACCTCAATAAGAAACGCGTAATATTTTCTCTGAATACGAGACGATTCCGTTTTTTAGGGACGGTTGGCAACTCTAATAACTAACCTTATGAACAAAATAAAGTTCACTATCAGTAACATCATAGCACCCACCCAGCTGTATAGAAACTCCGTCATGCTAGCTAGTACGCAGTACGAGTTATTGTAACTGACTGTAAAAAGTCAGCACAACGAAAATAAACTCCACCTAAACTTGGTTTATATCTGACCCAGATAGACTGCAGGTCATAACTTCTTACCTGAAGTTCAGTTCACCTGACACTCGGACCGGCGGCCGCCTCGGGTCTCTCTCCTCCTGCCTCCCCTTTCCCTCATCCACCCGCTGGCCTCTGTGGAAGCTCCGCCATAGCCACCACCAAACAACTGAGTTGTTTTTACACATTGACCAGCATTAATGATGCGCGAATCATGAACGAATCGTTCAATACTCGAGAATCACTTTACTGACTCATGAATCATGATTCACAAGCCCAACTGACTCACTGACTCATCCCTGCTGCTGTTAGCAGTAATGTATCTAGCTTATAATTAAAATTGTGGAGAAAAACACAACATCCAGTATCCTAACAACAACATTTCTGCTCTGAACTGGAAGAAAAAACCCTGAGTAGAAGCTCACATCAAGAAAATAGCTCCTCGGTTCACAGTAGCATCGCTCTGCTAACATGCTAACAGCACATTTGAGCTACTCACCCCCTCCCTTCCTGTGCTGAATCGTAAGCGAATCACTCAGGACTCGCTCACCCCTCCCCCCTGTGCTGAATCATAGAGCGAACGAATCACTCAGGACTCACTAACTCCCTCCCTCCTGTGCTGAATCGTAAGCGAATCACTCAGGACTCGCTCACCCCCTCCCTCCTGTGCTGAATCATAGAGCGAACGAATCACTCACTCACTCGCTCACCCCCTCCCTCCTGCCCTCCTGGCTCACAGCTTCTTCTTCTTCTTGGTTGGCAACCAATGTTAAGGCGCATTACCGCCCCCTGGCTCACAGCTCAGTGGACATTTAGATGAGAAAATACACATTTAAGGAAAATAATAAAAAATAAAATAAAATTAAATTAAATTAAAATAAATAAATGTTTATTAAGCAATTTTGATAGGAAATTGCTTAATTTTAGAAATGTTCTGGTCGACTGACTCAGTGAATCAAATGACTCAAAAACCGATTCACTTTGGTGAGTGACTCATTAAAACTCGATTCAATAAAAAGAATCAAATTTACCATCACTAACCAGCATCTTTTATTGTTTATACCTTTACAAAAAAAAAAAATGCCCGGTATGCCCGATGGCCAGTCCAGCTATGGCAAGAGGGGCTGCTATTGTGGATAATAGCAAACACTGAAATACATTTGCACGCAGCAATGAATTTTGTTCACTCAAATTTAGCTTTTCTTCACTCAAAATAAATTTCTCCTCAAAATGCGACACTTTCACCTGTAAATTTGTTTTACGTGCACTCAAAGATTTTTTTACGTGCGCTCAGAATAGTGGCACAAAAATAACGCCATACATAACGGGTATGGCAGTCCATTCTCCCTGCAGCACGGACTACACCGCCCATGAGGCTACATTCTTTAGGGCTATGCATGTAACACTCTGCCTATTGCCTTCATATTGAATCATAAAAAATATTTCTTCATATCATTATGAGACTCGAGATTGAAACTCAGGCACTAGAGCCTCTTAATGCATGTTTTGTTTGGGTTTCCACTGGCGTGGAATTACCAAAAATAGAGAGGGCATAGCCTAACATAGTGGTTCCCAAACTTTTTTTGCTGGGCCCCCCTTGTTTTACAAGAAAAATATTCGCGTCCCCCCCTCCCCTTTTCGCCCGTGCACACGCACACCCACTTGCACAAACACATCCTCCAACCACACACACCCATATTTTGTTCCATTGTGGTTTATTTCACACCTCAAACATTTAGTAAACAATTAAGCAAATACAAGTAATCTGCAATAAATGACAGTAGTTTATTTTATTACTACCTAACTCTTTTAGGCTATGTCCACACCTACACAGGTATTTTTGAAAACGCAGCTGTTTCATCCACACGTAAACGGCGTTTCGAATCACCGAAAACAGAGATTTTTTTAACTCCTTTTTTGCGTTTACGTGTGGATGAGGAATACAGAGTTCATCAGGCAACGTAAAAGGTATGTGCCTTTTTCACGTCACGCTGTGCGCACGTTATTGTTTACATGAGATGAATTGCAGAATGGCAGATAGAGACAAAATACTGTTAATCTGTCTATCTTCAGGTTTTACACGCTTACATATACACACACAGTTAATGTCCCTCCATTTAGAAAGGCAGAAGCGTCATGGTGTAATTATTTTACGTGTAGTTTTTTTTTCATGTGTAATAATATTCAACATTGCTATCAATACATTTCTCAAAAAATGCCTCTCTGTGCAAAATGGGTTTAAAAACATAAACAACTGTGGGATACTGTTTGTCTGTGATTTGAACAGCCCAGCTGCTCCCGACACTGGGAAAACCAATTCTGCAGGGGAGACCTACCTTATTGGTACTTGTGCAGGTGAAACCAAAGGGAAGATATGCTTCACCATATTTTGTAGTCTTTGGCTTAGAATGAAGTTGGTTTGGAAACATATTCAGCGATGCTTGCTTCATCTCCTGCTTTGCGTTTCTGTGGGCGCCCCGTGTTAGCAGTGTCCAAGCGTTTTGTCCCCCCCCTTTTCATTCCGCGCCCCCCCTGCAATGGCTCTGCGCCCCCCCTAGGGGGCGGCCCCCACACTTTGGGAAGGTCTGGCCTAACATATGAAACAGGAAAGACCGTCATGTAGTCCCTTTATTTTAGCAAAGTAACTGTATTCTGAATACCACCTTTTTAAACGGTAACTGTAACGGAATACAGTTACTCATATTTTGTATTTTAAATACGTAATGGCGGCACATGTATTCCATTGCTCTCCAACACTTCCCCCTTGCCTCTGTGTTAACACACACCTGAATGATCCAGACTAGAAAACTGCCAAAACTGCCAGTGATCACTGCAGTGTAGTTTATTAGCAGCACCAGTTGGTATTAAACCTTTTAATTTCCATGGAAAACATGATTTAGTGTCATTCATCTGAGGTTGTATTTAAAGGGCAAATGAAACATAAAAGACATAAAAGAATAAGTTACTGCTACCGAAGATGCTGAAGAGGCTAACTCTTTTTCTGTTTATTAGGCCAGAAAAACTGGACTTAATTGGGTTACTGAGTATGTGCATATACATTTGAGTCCAATGCTCTACTGAGAAATATGTATCATATATTTTCTATTTCATTACTTTTACAGGAACCAACTAAATTTCATCACAGAAGAGCTAAAAAACCCATTCAGGTAAAAACAGGCCTTAAAGAAACTCTAGTGTTAAGCAATAACTCACAAGGCATTGAATTTTTTTTAAAATACTTTTTCTTTTGTTGATTAATTTCAGGGACTTGCCACTGGCGATTGTTATTGGGATTCCTTTGGTTACTGTGTGCTATGTTTTGGTCAATGTTGCTTACTTCACTGTTATGACCACAACTGAACTGCTTTTGTCTCCAGCGGTTGCTGTGGTAAGGATAACACTGGTCAATAAGCATCTTGCTACTGGGATTCACTCACCTATACTTTAACAAATGTTTACTTAGTGACTGCAAATCTGATAATCATTTTTATCTAGCTAGTAATATTAGTTTTTAGGTATGATGTTTCAAGTATTTGACAGTTACAGTAACTGGATAGAAAGGATGATGTGTTTCAGAATTTAAGAAAAAAAGTTTGGTTTCGAGAAAAGTGAAGACAAAATCAAAGAAGGTTTATTTTTGTGTTGATCCTGAAAAAGCTGCTGACTTCTCAGCTTGCCCAACCTAAGTCACCATTAATGTGAGATGGACACGCTTGTAAAATGGAAACAGCTAAGTTTTCTCTGAGTACAAAACAAGCTTTCTGCAACAATAGCTGACTGCAGGGTCAAGACAACTGTAATGTAAAGGATGGATGCAAACAACCAAGGAGCTTTATTACAACACTGTCTGTAATAAAAGGAAGCGATTGTATTACTTTTTTGGTGGGAGATAGGAAATTAGACATAGTGATATATAATATTGATATTAAAGTGTCAAAATCAAGCTTCATATCTTGAATTACTGTAAATGACATGACAATTGTAAATGAGCATAATAGCCCCTTGTTTTCACACCTTGTATTTTCTGAAACATTAGTTTGTATTTTTTTAGACTTTTGGAGACAGAGTCCTTTACCCAGCATCTTGGATTGTTCCTCTCTTTGTTGTCTTCTCAACATTTGGTTCCGCCAATGGAAGCTGCTTCACTGCTGGCAGGTAAAAGAGACATCTATTACATATTGCATGTCATGCTCATAGTTTGGCATAATCTAGATTATTTCTGTCAGTACCTTTAGAGCGGTTTAAAGTGCATATTTATGTATGTGTAAAAATGAAACAACATCTGAAAATGAAAGTTAGAATCCTGAAGGGGATGGAACGAAAAAGCAAATAAAAAAATACAACAAATTTATAGCAAAAAGAAAAAAATTAATAATGTAAACCTAATGTTTTTTGCTCTACAGATTGGTCTATGCATCTGGCAGAGAAGGACACATGGTGAAAATCTTATCCTACATTAATGTGAAACGCTACACTCCTGCTCCTGCTCTTATATTCAATGTGAGTCTTACGCATTTAATGACTCATTTTGTATGCATTCTATTTGGCCTCAGATGATCAGCCATCTATTGTTTAAAACGTTATATGTCCTTTCACGGTGTGTTGATTACAGATTGTAAAAGTTTTAAATGAGCCCAAAAACCAGTGTCATTTCAAGTCCTATAAATTTTACATGGATTCTCAGGTAAACAATACACTGTGTTGTTTCACTACATGGCATTTCACTGTTTAATTTTTCTCTGTTTTAGGGTGTTTTGGCTATTTTCTACATTATTCCAGCAGATATCAACACCCTCATTAACTACTTCAGCTTTGCTCAGTGGTTTTTCTATGGGCTGGCAGCACTGGCTCTCATAGTCATGCGCTTCACTAGAAAGGACCTGGACAGACCAGTTAAGGTGAGCCTAGTTTATCTTTTATGCTGTTTGGCACAAAAGATCATTTTATTCATTTTGATGCCTTGTTAATTTGGATTGACAAACCACATCATACAAAAAATGACCACAATCAAGCCTTGAGATGAGGATTTATTTTATTTATTTTAACAATACCTAGTTAACAGAATAGTTATGATCAGTAATAGAAGGTCAAATATATACTTGATTTTAGAAAATTTTATCAATTTTTTAGAAAACATTTCTATCTGTTTTGACTCGTCTATGCAGTCAACAGTAATTTCTGTTTTATTTGTTAGTCAGCCATATTTAGCTTTTGTCTCAAAATGTAGTAGTAAAAGTTATTATTTTTAAGTGTTACATCAAATATTAGACAATCAAATACCATCCATCCATCCATCCATCCATCCATCCATCGTCATCCGCTTTGTCCGGGGCCGGGTCGCGGGGGCAGCAGCCTAAGCAAAGAGGCCCAGACCTCCCTCTCCCCAGCCACCTCCTCCAGCTTGTCCGGGGGAATACCAAGGCGTTCCCAGGCCAGCCGAGAGATATAATCTCTCCAGCGTGTCCTGGGTCTGCCCCGGGGCCTCCTCCCGGTGGGACATGCCTGGAACACCTCACCCAGGAGGCGCCCAGGGGGCATCCTTGTCAGATGCCCGAACCACCTCAGCTGGCTCCTTTCGATGTGGAGCAGCAGCGGCTCTACTCTGAGCCCCTCCCGGATGGCCGAACTTCTCACCCTATCTCTAAGGGAGAGGCCAGCCACCCTTCGGAGGAAGCTCATTTCTGCCGCTTGTATCCGCGATCTCGTTCTTTCGGTCACTACCCACAGCTCGTGGCCATAGGTGAGGGTAGGGACGTAGATCGACCGGTAAATTGAGAGCTTCGCTTTTACACTCAGCTCCCTCTTCACCACGACGGACCGGTGCAGACGTCCGCATTACTGCAGCTGCAGCCCCAATCCGTCTGTCGATCTCCGGCTCCCTTCTCCCATCACTCGCGAACAAGACCCCGAGATACTTGAACTCCTCCACTTGGGGCAGGAACTCATCCCCGACCCGGAGTGGGCACTCCACCCTTTTCCGGCTGAGAACCATGGCCTCAGATTTGGAGGTGCTGATCCTCATTCCCGCTGCTTCACACTCGGCTGCGAACCGTTCCAGTGCGAGCTGGAGGCCTTCACCCGATGAAGCCAACAGAACCACATCATCTGCAAAAATCAGAGATGAGATTCTGAGGCCACCAAAGCGAAAGCCCTCCGCCACTTGGCTGCGCCTAGAAATCCTGTCCATAAAAATTATGAACAGAACGGAACAAAGGGCAGTCCTCACTATATCAAAAATATTAAACTGATTTGCAATGTAAAACATCACAAAGACTGAGCCGCGAGATAGATTATAAATGCGTGAAGCCCATGTGAGGCATGATAAACTTCAGTTCATTATGACCCACCTGATGGTGATAACCTGAGCGTGTATCCGATTAATAAGCATTAAATTAGCTGCGTCCAGAGGACAAGTGCGAACCCTCGCCAAGCTCTCTATTTGCAGATCGGTCCTGGTATAAGAGGATCGGAGAATATAGCAACATCACCCACTATGGTACGCCGCAACATCCTTTCCGCCACCCAATGCTATCAACCCGCGGAAGCAGAAACAACATGGGAAAGCACCAAGGTCGGTAGCTTAGCGCTGTGTGAAGAGAAAGAATTCGTGAGATGCCATTCTCCAAGTCCATGCTATAAATACAGACATGTTAGTTACTTGATGATTGGCAACCCCACGCTAACCCTCAAAAGTATCCTGGCAGAGGATAAAGAGCTTGGTCAGTGTTCGCGACCAGGGACGAAAAGCTGGCGAGTTGTTCCTCCTGTATGGCGATCTTTAGAGGTCTGATAAAGGCAGTAACGGAGAATCTCCCTTTCCGCACCCGGCATAGGACTTTTGTCACATCAGAGATGGCCTGAGGTGCCAAGCCTGTAGATTTCTTCCTCCTGTAGATTTGGCTGACACATATCTGCCTTGTCCGCGGCTCGTCATTTAGATCTAAATTCGTCGGCCAGACCGCTACCAGTCGACGCCACTTGAGAGTCATCTGTTCATCCACAGTAGATGCGTCCAACCCCTTGGGATCTCCCACGCGCGAACATTCAGACCACGCGATAGTTCTATAGCTCATGAGATTCTATGGCGTCTTTTCCTCTTTAATCAGGAGGCCATACAACGTCCAGAGCCTTCAGGAACTCGGGGCGGACCTCATCAACACCAGGGGCTCTGCCACCAAGGAGTTGTTTAACTGCCTCAGTGACCTCGCCCCCGGAAATTGGCGGGTCATTCCCCTCATCCCCAGACTCTGCTTCCTCCTCGGAAGACGTGTCAGTGGGATTAAGGAGGTCCTCGAAGTATTCCTTCCACCGCCTGACAATTTTCTCAGTCGACGTCAGCAGCGCTCCGCCAGCACTATACACAGTGCAGGTAGAGCACCGCTTTCCCCTCCTGAGACGTCTGACGGTTTGCCAGAATCTCTTCGAGGCAGTCCGAAAGTCTTTTTCCATGGCCTCTCCGAACTCCTCCCACACCCGAGTTTTTGCTTCAGCCACTGCCCGAGCCGCATTCCGCTTGGCCTGTCGATACCTGTCAGCTGCCTCCGGAGTCCCACAGGCTAACCAAGCCCGATAGGACTCCTTCTTCAGCCTGGTGGCTCCCTTCACCTCTGGTGTCCACCATTTGGTTCGGGGATTACCACCACGGCAGGCACCAACCACCATTTGGTTCGGGGATTACCACCACGGCAGGCACCAACCACCTTGCGGCCGCAGCTCAATGCAGCAGCTTCGGCAATGGAGACGCTGAACATGGTCCATTCGGACTCAATGTCCCCAGTCTCCCTCGGAATGCTGTTGAAGCTCTGCCGGAGGTGTGCGTTGAAGATCTCGCGGACTGGGGCCTCTGCTAGACGTTCCCAGCACACCCTCACTACGCGTTTAGGTGCACCAGGTCTGTCCAGCGTCCTCCCCCGCCACCTGATCCAACTCACCACCAGGTGGTGATCAGTTGACAGCTCAGCCCCTCTCTTTACCCGAGTGTCCAGAACATATGGTCGCAGGTCTGTGATACGATTACAAAATCGATCATCGACCTACGGCCTAGAGCGTCCTGGTGCCACGTGCACTTATGGACACTCTTATGTTCGAACAGGGTGTTCGTTATGGCCAAACTGTGGTTAGCACAGAAGTCCAATCAAATACATAAATCAAATACTTCCTATGTACTTCTCTGTTCCCTTGAAGATACCAGTGGTCTTAGCAGGCATCATGGTCCTGGTGTCCTGCTACCTGGTCTTGGCACCCATCATTGATCAGCCAGAGCTGGAATACCTTTACTGTACCATCTTCATCTTCAGTGGTCTTATCCTTTACTACCCATTTGTCTACCGAAAAGTGAACTGGGGGCGCAAAATCATGAGTAAGTTTATATTTTTGACTGTAAAAATTTAAAATATATATGTTGAGAAGTATGTAGAATTATATGATCAAATATTGATATGAAATGATGATTACTTAAGTGCTTGTGTTGATTTGACCTCTAACTTCTGTTTCCTCATAGGGCCCATCACTATGCATCTCCAGCTGCTAATGGATGTAGCTCCTCCTGAGAAAACTGAATGAGAAGGCATAACGCGTTTCGGTGTCTACGGGGTAATGAAAAATGCTCTGTCTAGTTTTGGAAACAGGAAGTGTGCCTAAAGGGTTAGAGACACATTTTAGAGCTCACTTCTCTGCAAAAGTAGGATGAAATGAAATAATTTAAATTTGTTGGTTCAGGGCTCAGAAATTGTGTTTATTTAGAATGACTGCAGGATACAGTGGGAGTATCTGCAGGATATTCCAGAAGTATATGAAATATAAACTAAAAACAGATGAAAGGGTACGCTTTCATCTGTTTTTACTTTTAAAAATTATATACTTGTGAACTATACACACACACACACACGTACACACACACAATACACATACATATTCGGGGTGCAACAATCCATGTATCGTTATTGAACTGTTTGATACAGTGCTTTCGGTTCGGTACGCATATGTATCGAGCAATACAAAATGTTTTATTTATTTTATCAACTTTTCTTCTGACGATGCTGTCTGTGTTGAGCACTCAGTGGATCTGCGCTCGACTTCTCTGCCTAGGCTGTACTGTCTAGCGCAGATCCACTGAGTGCAGCGCAAGCTAGTGAGACAGAAGCTAAGCGCGTTGCAACATGGCTACTGCCTCAACGCTACCTGAAATTGAACCTCCCCCACCCTCATTCAGATCCCGTGTTTGAAACTGTTTTGGTTTTCATGTGAGGTATGACCCTGAAGGTAAGCGCGTCATGGAGAAAAGTAAAACAATATGTCAGATGTGCCATGCAATGCTCAATTACATTGGTGGGAACTAGTGCGTTAGCGCAGTTAGCTCGATAATGTGTTGACGCCATCCAGCCCGACGCACGGAGCAATCCGCGGTTACTCGTTAACGGAGATTTGCCTCGTTATGCCGTTAACGTCATTTTAACGGGATTAACGCTGACAGCACTAGTGGGAACACAGCGAATATGGCTGCACATTTACGCCGACATCATCCTAGTGCAAAGACAAGTGGAAGCAGACAAAAACAACAAGCACGCATGATACAAACTTTACCTGAGTCATTTAGACCAACGGTGCCCAACCTCCGGGCCTCGGACCGGTACCGGTCCGTGAATCGTTTGGTACCGGGCCGCGAGAGTTGAGGCTCATGTGTGAAATGTATGGTTTTCAGGGTTTTTATTGGTTTTCAGCGGGGGTTTTTTGTTATCGTTTTTATCGTTAACTCGTTTTTCCTGGGTCTTTTCACGTGTGTTATGAATAAATCTTCTTTTTTTCGGTACCGGTACTAGTTTTATTTTGTTGTATTTATCCGCGACACCTTAAAGGCCGGTCCGTGAAAATATTGTCGGGCATAAACCGGTCCGTGGCGCAAAAAAGGTTGGGACCGCTCATTTAGACAGCCGTTAGCACATGATTCTCCTTATGGGGACCTGATATGTTTAATATGCTGCTGAGAATATAGCCCAGAAGAAGCGTATAGTATAGCTTTTATTTTGGAAAGAGCCATTTCTCTGTAATAAACTCTCTTTTCCAAAGATGAGTGATTTCTCGATCAGATAGATTTATTTTTTTATTACTTTGTTGTTTCAGCAACATTAAATTTAAAAACTGTACTTTTGAGTTAAAATATATATTTATAATTTTAATAAATGACAAATTAAAAAGGCATGAACATTTTTTTGTATCGAAAAAATATCGAACCGTGAATTTTGTGTCGTTGCACCCTAATACACACACACACACACACACACACACACACACACACACACACACACACACATTATATATTAGGGCTGCCACAAACGATTATTTTGATAGTCGACTAGTCACCGATTATTTATGCGATTAGTCGACTAATCAGATCATCATCCACTGGACGTAAAACTACAGCTTATTGCACCAGCAGCATCTGCTCTTATATAACTATCATTAGCTTACAGCTTTAAGCTTTTAAGGTGCTAACTAAAAATAAAGACAAGATGATAGTTTATTCAATTTTAATGAAATTTGCAGATTGTTTCGGTAAAGTTTAATAAACTCCTTGCTATCTAAAATATAACAGGACACCGGAGTATATTCTCCAGCATCTCACACTTCTGATAATCAGCTGTCTGCTTGACGTTTATTCAGCTGTGTAAAAACTATAACTTTAATCTCAGCCAAACCGATTTACTCAGGAACAAATAAAATACTAAAAAAAAAAAAAGCCAAACAACAACATTTTTAATTTATCTAAGTGACTCATATATATTTAACCTGAGTCGCGAAAGACGGCGGTGGGTTTGAAAACAATTTGCCGGGAGTCCGGTGTTCTCACGGCGCTAGTGACCTAGCCCCCGGCTAGCTATCGAGCTAGTGGGTAACAGACGTCTCCGAAAACGTCGGAGCGCTTTTGAAAATATGTGGTGTCCTGATAAACTGAGCCGATATTTGAGGTTTACACAGCTACATTCTCGCCTGAAAATATGTTAAACGTTTATTTTGTGACCCAGAAAGAATAATAAGAGTAATATTAAAACTAACTAGCTACCGCCATTGTTGGAAACTAAGCTGGGCCGCGCTATGAATTCTGGGACACAGCTGCTTCTTCTTCTTCGGGGTTTAACGGCAGCTGGCATCCTTGTACATGCAGTGCTGCCATCTTCTGTTTCAGTCCGTTATTACACTCTTAAATCCTGCTATTATTCCTGCGTCTTTTGCGATCTTACAAAGCTTCAAACGACACGTCGACTATTAAATCAGTCGTCGACGATTTTGATAGTCGACGTAATCGTGACTAGTCGACAAATCGTGGCAGCCCTAATATATATATATTGTGATGTGATGTGATTGCTCAATGCTGAGTTTAGCAATCACTGTATTGAGTAACTGTTTTATTTAGCCACACTGCAAAATGTTTTTTATTTGGTCAAAGGTCACTTCATGTTGGGATTCTATTGGGATTCTCAGTGAATCGGTTTGAATCAGCACTTGAGCAAAGGGAATTGTAAACATTTTAACTGTGTTGTAACAGACAGAAGCACATGAAGACCTTGCATATGTGTAACTTTTCTTGTTGTTCCCAAACATCAAAGATTTGTAAACGTTTGTGCATTAATTTTTAACAATGCTTCTCCCCTGAGTTATACTGTAATGAGGCTGTATTGTGTTTACATGATGGTTAAGGAAATTATTAATCTTATTGGTCATGAAATACACAAAAAAATAAAACGTTTGTGATTACAGCAAATAACCGTTATGGTCTTTTTCATCTGTTTGCTACTTTAACTGCTTAAATATGCTCTGATATGGTCTTCTTCATAATTACAGTTGATGGATAGCAAACAGTGATTCTAAGATATACTCGCCTTTCATTTAATAGAAGTACTTTTAATTGGATGTGTTTGACACAAATTTTGACATTTCTATTTCAGGTAACTGGTAGCGTCTTATGGCTGGCAATTTCAGTTCATTTAAAAGTTTCTAAGGCAGGTCAGAGAGATACAGTGAGCTCTTGCAGACTATGTTTCAATTGCTGGTTCCATTAGAGTTCCATTTTAATTTCAGTGTGTGAAGAGTGCTGCAAAGTTATGCAATGCAGCAAGTTGAAGAGACTCTAAGGTCTTCATGACAAACCCTTCTCCTGGTAAAGACACTTTAACAACCAACAGACACTTGAAGGCCTATACCAGTGAAAGGTTTTAACTCCACAAAACGTTTGGACTACTGGAAATCTTCGCTTCATCGCTCAGGATCTTTGTACTCCGTCAAGTAGGCGAAAGGGTGGTTCCACAGTGTGTGGCATCAACTGTTTGCCTGCCCGGCGGCCTGCCACTACATTCTGTAAAGAAAGCTTATCATGTGATTTTCTTTTTTATGGTTATAGTATCGCCGTCAGACTCTCACTCTATTCTTACTCTCAGTTACTGTTTTACAAAGTTGGGGAGCTGCATATGTTTAAAATTTTGCTATTGCACAATATGATGAGTTAAGAAAATCTGCTGTGTAATTCAAAGCAGTCCCTTTTTAAAGCTTCTGCTCAATAGATTTCATGAAGCTAGAACTTCGCCTTAAGTCATCCCCCTTCTCATGTAGAGCTGTCCAATCACATTTGGGAACCTCCCACCAGAGGAGTTGCTCAGTTTAATGCAGTTTTTTTTTCTTTTCCAATTTTCATCAGACATTTCTGCTCTAATTCGCTGAACTTAGCTTAACATAATTTGTGTGTTCACAACACTGCACCTGGGTTTGAAAAAGCTGCATTCAAGGTCCAACATTGAGTTTTTTATTTTCTTCAAGTAAGTTAAGTAAGTTAAAATATGTTTTTTAAATGTGCATTTCTTTATAATCATGTATTGCATAGTATGTGATAGTGGTGGGGGAAAAATCGATACTGTGTAGTATCGTGATATTTTGTTTGCTAATAATGCATCGATACAGGGACAGCAGAAATCGATATTTTGTTACAAAAAGGTTTTTGTGGACTGGAACATGCTCTGACTTCAGAGCATGTTGATCCTTTTTCTGAGCAAGAATCCTGACATTCCTTCACTGTCCAAATGTGTTTCACTTTTTTTTTTGGCAGCAATAAACATGACAGTTTACTTATTTTAATTTAAGACATGTTTTATTTTAATTAAGTTTAAAACTTTTTTATTTAATGTAAAACTATATTTTATTATAATTTACTTTCAAATTCTTCAGTTGCTGAATGGGCTGCATAGTTTTCATAAATTGCATAGTTCAGAATAGCTATAATTGTACCAGATGGTTGCATTCAGTTAAGTTGGACTAGACTGTAATACAAATCGTTCAAGTTTGTCAACAATAAAACTGACTGAAATGAGAGAAAGACTGAGTGTGACACTTTGACATTAGATAAAATGAATATTGATAAAGTTTACTTTTATGTATAGAATCTGAATATCGCAAAATATTTAAAAAAATTGCAATAATATCGTATCGTGCGTTAAATATTGTAAATATTGTGATATCGTATCGTGGGATGCATGGTGATTCCCACCTCTAGTATGTGATAGTGGTGATGCAGAGCTACTGTTAAATGTAATTACATTCAAGCAATTCTATCTTAAACAAGTCGTTTGTTATTTGATATATGTTAAGTATTAATATTATAATTTGTAGTTAAATATTATCACTGAGTGTCAGAGTAAGAGACATTTGAGCTCTTCCCACTCTTTTTTATAATGTTTGACTTACTGCCAGTCTGTACCAGTTCTCCTAGTTTGACTTTAAGTTGGGGTCTATGTTTAGAATACTAATATGTTCACAGTTTTTCCCAGTTAAAAAGCATATGAAGCATATGAGCTGATCATTACTGCACTAAAGAGCACCAAATCCAAATGTTCTACTTTTAAATTGTATTTTACAAATTACAAAAAAATCACTAAAATTAACCCTTTGACTCTCAAATAGTTAATGAATGTTAAGGATTACAGTTAATACAGCTCTAAGGGACATTTGTTAAAAATTGCTATTATATTTGTTTAAAAGCTCCACACAAACAATGCTTACATGCTGAATCACCTTATAATAAACTTAAAATCAACCCAAAACCCTTCTAAAGATATTTTAGTGATCTCTTTAAGGCTGTTATTGAGCTGCTCTATTGATGATTAGTCTAAGATATCACTGCATGAGGTTAATACTGTGGTGAAACTCTTTAAAATCAAAATTTGTGCAATTGAGCCATATCTGTTCCTGGTAATGTAATTAAATCTGTAAGATTATGGGAATCAATGTGTGAACAAATTTAGTTTTGATTTGTCTTTGAGTGGATTTTTAGTGAGCTCTTGTTTCTGAGAGTCACTGTGTATCTTGATGAAAGGGAACATTTACTGCCCATGGAAGAGCATAGTTTTCCCTCTAAACGTTATCATGTCATGATAACCTTTTATAGGGACAACAAAGATGTGTTTCCTGTAAAAGTTAATGCAAGTGGTCTGTAATGTGTGTCAACACTTATGTTACCTCATAGACCAGTGTGTTGCTATGGATGAAAGTGGAATAAGGAAGAGAAAGGAGTCACAGAATGGCTCCACTGACCTTACCAAAGACAACAAGGAGGTGGTGAAGGCCGTTGCCCTTCAAAAAGATGTAAGTATGAACCAGTGTGCTTGACTTTTATATACATGCAGGTTCCTGAGAACAAGTCTCACTAAATTTTCACACTAAAGGATCATCCTTACC